ACGAGGAAATCTCTTCTATTCGTGTCGACTACCTTGTTGACGAGCAAATATACATTATGAGTCTTGGCATATAGAGTATGCAAATAGCCTTTTCTTTTTTACCTTTAATATATTCTTATGTGGAAACTTTATTCCATAGTGTACACATTTTATTTGCCTGGTTTGTGTTTCTCATCTGAGGTCCAAATTTGCTGATTGTTGCCTGGAAATCGATTTCCATCTCTGGTTCGATACTTCACATGAATATGATAAACAGTTTAGCGTGCAGTCGCTCTCAATGTTGTGCGCTGCTAAATTTAGACAGAATGTTGCGCGTGTATTGCAGATAACAAGATAAGTGTTCATATAAAACAACTATAATTATAGCATTACCTGACTAGTCATTACAGCTCTTTATGCTTCCTATTACAAGGATATATTTGGGAGGCTTTCGAGGTTACCCACGTGCAGAATAGATCATTACTCATATCTTTTCACCGGAACCTAATTAACTCTGCAAATTAATGGAACAGAGCGTGTTTATTGATTGAATGCACTGAGGGCAACATGCTGCATGGGAGGAACACGTTAATCTCTTTAGCATGTCATTATCCGGCTAGAATGAGGCATTGAGATTATATCATTACCTGTATAGTCCTTCCTTTATTGAGCATGGGATAGTACTAACGCAATGAATAGCATGTAAGAATTTAAGAAATTTGTTTCATATGGTAGTATAAACCTTTACACTAGAATACAACAACAACAACAACACAAATGTCATATGAATGCGGAGACAGCTAGAAAGGCCAAAAGCTTTATTGGTTGTGTTTTTCATAAAGTTAAAGCGCCTTATTTCATAATGACAATCCTTCTTCTGCCTTTACGCCGTTTCGATGCCTCGTAGACCCAAGTCAACATAGATTTAGCCAATCCCTTGAAGACTAAAGTCCGGTAAATATATAATAGGTGCTATCAGTCTCAACTCACGTAAACAGTGCTACCGCTTTAATGATTTTTAAAAATGTATCCCTCTTGGTCCGTTGGATGGATCATAGATCAGTTAAAGGGCCTACTAAACCCGTATACCATTATTTCACAATGTTGTCCTTCTGATTCATTCCATGTAGGGGTAAGGAGATCATTAATTGTAGCATCTTACCGTAGAGAGTTCCTGTCTAACGAAAATATTAAACAAATTTAAAAACAGAAATCAGAAAAAGTTTTTGCTACAAGCCCTCGTACACTTTTCTCAACCTTATTAAAGTAATGCAAATAATTATTCTACATTTTCCCGTACTATATTACTACAAAGAACCTGATTCTGTTTCACATTTAGTTTTTCCACGAGACTGCTGTCTTGGGAAGATATGAAAGCACCGAACTTTTTAAAACAGGGTGTCTTTTTTCAATATAATTACTGCATTTTTATCACATGTGATTAAGGGATAGGAGGATAATTAATTTGTAGCATACTACTGTACGGAAATTAATACTGATTTGCCTGTGCTATACATGCTCAGAGATTGTTGTCTTCAGAAGATATGAAAACACTATGTGTCATTTAACGCTGATATACAAGTCTTAAACATTTCCATCGTCACGTTTTATTTATGGTCACGTGATCTCATTGGAGTATAAGCTCAGACTGTTGTTATACGTGTGCCTCTCCTGTTTTTAGAGCGACTGTTCTCTTCGAAGTCCGTCTGTTTTGTCTTTCGGTGTTAATACTCCTCCTCATGCACATCCGTTGATGTAGATGCACAGTGATATCCTCATCTTCTGGCTTTTCTTCTTTCAGCGATTGCCCTCGTCTCATCCTCTTCCTTCTTCGTACTCTATGCATCCGCTTTCTCTCTCTCTCTCTCTCTCTCTCTTTTCTTTCTCTTTATTTACTTCCGTTCCACTCTCTTTCCTTCTCCTCTATCTCTAACCTCGCTCTCGCATTACTTCCATGTCTTACTTCAAGAAACCTTATCATATTGCTGTATTTCTTCCAGCGTTGACCCTCTCTACCCTTATCACTTACATGACCTTTCTCTCTCGTCCCTCTTCCTCCATCTCTTTCTCCTTGTCACTTTTTGCTTCATAACAAACTTTGCTATAGCATCTTTCCCCGCACCTACCTCTGGAAAATCATTAACCATCCCCTTCAACCTTATTTTCTTTCTCTCTCTCTTTCTCTCTCTCTCTCCCTGTTTCTCTCTCTGTCCCTCTTTCTCTTGTTCTCTCTTATTCGCTCTCGTTCGTTACTCCCCTTAAGTTCCCCCCCCCCCCAAAAAAAAAAAAAATCTCTCTCTCCCTCCTCTCTATCCTTTCTCTCTCTTTTCCTTTACTCTTCTTTGTCTAGCTCAACTCTAGCATCTCTACCCTCAGGAAACATTACACAAACGATTTCTCTCTCTCTCTCCCATCCCTCCATCTCTTTGTCTCCCTTTCTCTCTCACACTCTTCTACCCCCAACCCTTTCTCTGGAGTTCTACTTTGGCATCTCTACCATGCTTAGCTTTAGGAAACATTACACGCACGGGTTCGTCTCTACGTACCGAGGCTCTCTAAAGTAAATTGCATTTTTCACCTGTCTTTGATCGGAGTGTCTCCGGGCTATCATTGATTGACTGGGGAGAAGAAAGGGGACAAGGGAAAAATCCTCCCTTTTGCATCTTCCAAATAAGAAAACAATCAAAGCAGTATATTCCGTGATCATTATATTCCTTATTGCTCCCATCTTGCTTCTACACAATCGAAGCTCCTGCATAGTTCATTTTGGATCACTGATAAGGACTAAATTCAATTTTATCTCAATGCACCACTCCCCCTCCTCCTTGGTATACCTTATCTGACAATGCAGCCGGTTTCCCTTATAGGTCAAACGGTGTATTGTATAGTACGCGTTGTTTCCTATTGTTTTACCTTCTAAATCTGGAAAGGACTTGCCTTATTCAATCCTCAAGAGGCAAAATTAAATATTGATATCCAATTATTCATCCTATGTCGTTATCAAAATAAAACAAGTAAAACAAGTTAAGTACAGGAATTTAAGTAACAAAAACGTTGATCGCTTCATGCCTCGTCAGTTTTGTTTCCACCAATTATTCATACCTAATAGTTCTACCTTCGGGGCAGGATTCCTATATTTTAATCAATGTAAAATGAGAATGATCAACTGGCATTCTTATTTTAGGAACCCGTATATGTAGGTTAGATTCCGACATGAAGCCTTGGATTTGGGTTGAAAAATTGTGATGACATGTTATCAATACGGCTAATTTCTCATGCGATGCTGTTAATTTTATGAAAGGAAAGTGAAGATTTACTCGCATTTATTCCTTTTCACAATGTCTTCATTACACATTGATATATTTTTTTATGGAATACTGACACGAACATCGATTGTAAGTCTTCAAAAACTCTGATCATCTTTTCAATTCGGTGTGAGAAAAATACATGTGTAGAACGTTATGACGACATGATCCTCTATTTAGAGCTCAGGGAGAATTTGTAGCACCTGAAAGCTGGAAGCAATATTGCGTCATCATGATAATGCACTGAAGAGGCCTCGAAAATTCGTATCGGGTTTGTAAAAAGTAGAGGGGTTTCAGAATCTTTGGCCCGAATTCACAAAGCAAGGTTTGAGCTCAGACCAAGGAAACCTTGGTCTGAGCTCAAACCTTGCTTTGTGAATTCGGGCCAATGGGTTTCTTTGACTGTTGTTTCAAGTATATTTATTTCTTTTCTGATAGCAAAGACCAACGTGTATTGAATATAGAGGAAGTAACAAGGTACCGCTGCTCTACCGTAAGATAGATTAATAGACTTAATCCTTGCTGATAATGTTTGCAAAGGTGAAAATAATTCAAAAATAGGGCTTGTAAAGTATTGGACCCTTAATGAAAATGTACATTGTAACGTTCTATCTCATTCAAGCAACATTAGATCCCTCCCTCCTTCCCTCCCTTTTTCCCTTCCTCCCTCTCTCTCCCCCTCCCTTTCTTTCTCCCTTTCTCCCTACCTTTCTCCCTCCATTTCTCCCTCCATTTCTCCCTCCCTTTCCCCCTCCCTTTCTCCCTACCTTTCTCCCTCCCTTTCTCCATCCCTTTCTCCCTCCCTTTCCCCCTCCCTTTCTCCCTACCTTTCTCCCTACCTTTCTCCCTCCCTTTCTCCCTCCCTTTCTCCCTTCCTTTCTCCCTACCTTTCTCCATCCCTTTCTCCATCCCTTTCTGCCTCCCTTTCTCCTTACCTTTCTCCCTCCCTTTCTCCCTCCCCTTCTACCTCCCTTTCTCCCTCCCTTTCTACCTCCCTTTCTCCCTTATTTTCTCCCTACCTTTCTCCCTCCATCCCCTCCTCCTCTTCCTCCCTTCCTCCCTGATACCGTCTCTCCTCACTCCCTACATCTCCGCTCCCCTGTGCCCATCCTTTCCTCCTTCATCCCCTCCTCCCTTCATGCTTCCTTCCCTTCCCTCTCCATTCCTCCTCCCTTCCATTCTCCCCCCCCCCCCCCCCCCCCTCCTTGGGAATCCACTCTAGGCCCGAACTACGCTGAATAGTTCGGTTAGTAACAATGCAATATCGAGTGTGTAAGGGAAAAGAGTGAGGTTTGAGCATTTCTTAACCTTTATGCCAGACGTGTTTAATGTCAAAGTGAGATACAAATGTCACTCGTACAGTACGGAAACACATTTCCGACAGTTTTGTTTATATTCCCGTTGTTGAATACAACACGTTTCCCTTCACTTTATAACCGCATATTTATATGGAATTTATCTTCAGGAAAGATTAATACTACGATTGATTCTAAATGCCATAACAAATAGTAGAAGAACAAATTGATGCCGTTTCGCTTTCCCGTACAAAATTATATAAACCGCATCACCGTCTTTTCCTTTAAGCAGGAAAACGTTTGACGACTTCACTTTCCACAATACCAAGTGCTTGGCGTGCACGCAATTATTTGGATTTCATTGCAGACATATTCATGCAGACTGTGCATTGTACCCAGCTATATAGAGGCCGTGAATTCCTAATGAGCCCCGATCATTATTCAAGGAACACACTTGAGCACGGAACACGAGTTTGTCGGTGTAAACGATACCTCGCCTGCAAACTGGAATTCGGAAGACGGTCCTCTTCTCTCCTCAAAATATACATTGTATTACGTCGTCAAGTGTCCAATCAAAATGCGTCCGGTGTTCGCCAACCACTGTCCCGTTTGCAAAGTCACTCACCGTGTTTCACGTATACATATGATACGCCTGCAGCCTCAAACATTCATTACGAAAGTGGATCATTCGCTGTAATTTGACGTTGAGTTTGACAACTGAATCTCGGCTTGCTTTATTCTCAAAATAGTTGGTTTTATCTGGTGGTTCTATGGTGTTATCGTGCCCTCATTTTTGAGGATTTCATATTGGAAGGTAGGGTTGAAATTATCATTGTTGTTTTGTGTTATTTAGGAAGTAAAATATGAGACAATAGCTGTGTAAATGTTTAAAGATGTAAAGTTCGATCCAAATTGCAATTGATCGCCATGTGATAAACATAATTATGACTAGTGCCGTTGCTTTACGAGTTATCAAGTCCAGTGTGTGGATGAACAAAATAATTATTCGTGTCAATAGGTGGATTGTTACCGGATTTTAAAACAAAACTAATGTATGTACTATTTCGTTTTTTAGTGAGTAGTCTCTGTGTTGCCTTTGGAAAGTAAAGCAAGTGGGACGCTATCCCCAGCGGGTTGTATGAATCATTGAATTGGCTCCAAATTCTGAGGCCCCGAAAACACCTTGTAAAGACCGACCGAAATTGAGTTTGGGGAGAGAGGAAAACAATGTTAAGCAGGGATCAACATATTCAAGTTTATGTACAGCATAAGCTTAGTGTCACTCAGCTAGAAACACTAGGTTAGGTAGGAGGACTCCAAAAGAAGAGAAATGGGGTTAGGGGGAGGAGAGAACGTTCTATTCAGGTTTTTTCACAAATTTTAAATCTATAAGGCTATAAAAAGATTGTGTCCAGGTGTTTGTTCGATAGGTATCAGTCAAGAGGGACAATTATTATTATTATTTTTTAATTTTTTTTTAACAACTATAGACTCATTATCCTCGCGAAAAGTGTTGATGTTATTGTTATCTTCGGTTTAAAGGGCCCATGACATCGAAATACAAGTGAATTCCAGTTGGTGTGCAGTCTTGCATACATCTCATATTTTGAAATGTAAACTTCTGAATTTGTTTCGTGAGATTTTTAAATATTTTTTTGAAATATTTGTTTTTCAAACTTGCTAAGCTCCACTCCCAAAACCTCCAGATCTCATTCCCCTTGTGACATGGGCCCTTTAAACTTTTCTTGGTGAGTCGCGAGGTATCTTTATAATAAAAAGAATTTACTCGCCTTCAAGTATGGCTTCGTGACCTCAATTGGCATAATCAGGTCTCGTGTAACCTCCTTATTGTAAACAGTCAGATCCAAAACACAAAGCTTATCAGCTGAGAGTATTCAAGTCGTTTTTATGCATGCTTTCTTGTACCAGGCCATTGGTAGACCAGTTTACTAATGTATTTAAATTTATGCGTGTTTCTCTTTGATAATCTTTATTCACCTGCTTGTAATAATGCCATCCCTATGCATGGAATCCAATCGGCATACATTAGGTGTTGCTATGTCGGGCTATCTTCAAGCTTTGTAGTTGTAAAGAAAGACTTCTGTTAAAAGAATATGCATGAAATTAGAAGACAGGTCTGTTGATGATAACTCAGATTGAACGGACGGTTGTTAGTTATTTATGTACGTAAGTTTGGCATAAAACTCCGATAAATATCGAGTTATGGCGAGTTCGAGTGTTCGACCATTTAATTTACTATCATCTTTAGGTATTTTGTCACATAAAATGGACACTAATCAATCTTATAAAGTTCTAAAGCGGCGCTTTCGGCAAATTTGCAAAATGTTGGACTGTTTTACCATGGTTTTACACAGTTGTCGGTAGACTGTATACCCATGCGACTCTCTTGAGAGAAAAAAAAACTTGTCGGCTAAACACCTTTCATTCATTACTTGATAGCGTTAAAATTTGGCTACAAGGAGAAAGTTCTCTTTTCCCAACTATTTATTTTTGTATTCGTTACAATACTGAATTATTGTTAGTTTTAGTAGTAGTCCTAGTGGTAGTAGTAGTAGTAGTAGAGGTGGTTGTGGCAGTAGTAGTAATAGTAGTAGTAGTAGAAGTAGTAGTAGTAGTATAGCAACAGTAGTATTAGTAGTAGTAGTATTGATGATAGTAGCAGTACTGTATCAGGAGTAGTAGTAGCAGCGGCAGCAGTAGTAGTTGTACATGTAGTAAAAGTATTAGTTATAGTAGTAGTAGAAGTATAGTAGTAGTAGTAGTAGAAGCAATAGTAGTAGAAACAGCAGAAGCAGAAGTAGTACTATAGTAGTAGCAGCAGATTCACCGTCGTTATTTCACTTGGTTAATTGATAGAATATACCTCTTCTTCTCACGGTATGGACGAAATTGAGATGAATATAAACTAAACAGGCATAACAAAGAACCGACACATAAACATGTTACGTATTTGCATGTTATTGTCACAATGAGGGGAAGCCTCTATGAATAGAAGGCATGCTTCTGCTTTCGCAATTTCCGTTACCGGCAAACGGCGACACAATCTCCGTTAGGACAGATATTCATTTGACATGAGATTGAGAAACATACCCATCTAGCCTCCTCATTATATCTAGGTATTCCGACCGAAAGTCACGTAAAGCAATCATGGTACAGGCTTACCCCCTACAACGATACACGCTGAAAGATCTCGTTACGGAAAACATAGCTAACACTACAGCAATGTGGGCCGCTGCGGTATACATGACGTTGTGATTTGTTCTCCTCGATGACAACATTCTCAACATTTTCTTGGCATTGTGAATAAAATGGTTGATTCTTCTTTCTGTTATTAATGGATTATTCTTAATTTACGTCGGATCCAGCTTTGCTTATGACGACCACCTTTGTCTTCTACGGTTTTATGTGACCAAGTTAAAATTTCATGGATTTGTGACTGACGTATTGGAAAATAAATCAATCGAAAATCATATATGATTAATTCACATGACATGCAGTGCAGGGGGGGGGGGATAAATCGCATTTCCATGATTATTTGGCATTATCTTATAGGAAAATCGAATATCGTCTCCTTAACAAACACACGTATATATTTAATGCACATTTTACAATTAAAAACCAAATGGTCAAATTATATCGAATGCATTTTAAAATAAATTTAGTCTTTACTTGCAATTTCATGAAAAGCCTTCATGGACATTATTCCTGAAATGAGAGTACTTTAATTACAACATTGGAACATTATCATTAGAGAAAAATTAAAAGTCAAAAAATATAAAAGCTTTCAATCGAACTGATGTACGCTGACGTAATTGTAAACACCAAATTGTAGGGCTTCTGCTACTCCTAAGCTCTGCGATTAGATGACATAAAACACAATCATGACCAATTTGTTTTCTTAAGTGCATCCCCCTCTTTCAGAATACAGTGAAAGCGTAATGTGTCGAGAATGGATCTGTTTACTGATGTATTTCAATTTATGCATGTTACGCTCAGTAACCCCTGGTTACCTGCCATTTTATCCTTTTCATCCGAACGCTATATGACCAATTGCATCTCTTTGGATGGAATTCACATTGCATACGTTAGGTATGCTATGTTTGGTAATCCCCTGACAGGGTTTGTAGTTGACAAGAGAAACTTTGTTCAAAATGAATGCATAAAATCAGTCAAATGAGCCCATATTCATGAAACCCGACTGAGCTAGTTGTCAACTAATGGCCATTTTGACTAAAATAGTCAGAATTAAAATTGCATGCATTAGTTATTGCTAGGTAGGACAAACATTATGGCTTGCTCTACCTAACAAGTCGTAATATATGCAGTTTGCATTCTGACTATTGAAATACAATTATACGTATAATTATGTGAATGAAATCATTCGTATTGAGGCGCTTGAGTATGAATTATGTTACATTGCGAAACTGGCTTAATACGTATGCTATGATACATAGATGGCAAATAGACCCTGTAATGTTATAATACTATAAGCTTAGGACTGTTGCCTAATACTGTAGTTGTTGATTTGGGAGTCTACAACCACTAGTTGGGGCTTTTGCAGGAAGCAATAATTGAAACAAATGCCATTTGGATCTATGTATAGTTCAAATTACAGGGTTTTAAGATACCTTGTAGAAATAGACCATTTTCGGTATGTAACCACAGCTAATGCATACGTCTTTAATAGAGAAGTGCCTCGATACGAATTCATACGTTTCATTCATTTTTTACGAATAATTGAAGTTTAAGAGTCAGAAAGCGAACTGCATACATTAGTTGTTGCCAGGTATGACTAACATTACCATTCCCTACCTAACAACACGTCATGTACGCATTGTGCTTTTTGACTATTGAAATTCAATTATTCATCAGAGGTGATTGAAATATCAGTATTCAGGCACTTCACGAAGACATATGCATTAAATTTTGCTTCAATACCAAAATGGCCTATTGTATTTGACGGTTATCGGTGCCGATCATGATAGGATCGTGTGACCTAAAGCTTTTAAAATTACCACTTCTCTGCTATTTTGATATTCATTTCGATAAATGATTGATCATGCAATGATATAACTATCTTTGAAGGTGTGTCATGAAATAAATAATAAGAAATAAGTTCAACTGAATCACATATTCAGTATATTGTTACGTTACATTAATAATTTGCATTGCATAGTTTTAAATTTAGAAGCGTTAGGGAAAAGGAAGGTATTTTATCACTTACAAACAAGCGTTCGTAAACCATACACCATGTACGTTGTGCTTAAATCACATAAAGTGGGTCTGACGAGGATTCTGTGGAAACACTTAAAGGGAAGGAGAGTAAAATTCTTAAAAGCGTTTGATGAATGATTTGCTCTGCTCCTTGAATCAGTCTGTCACCATCACTGAGATTGTAAAACCGAATAGTGTTCGTTGTGTATAAAAGCGTCGTCGGGGGTGTAGTGATTTTTCACGACAAGGCTCAATAAACTTGCTCATTTTAAAATCATTGTCCTCTATGAAGCAGGGACCAGTTTCTCGAAATCGGCACAGGTCTAAATTCGAGGACCCCCCCCCCCTCCCCCCTCCCCCCCCTCCCCCGTAGAAATGCGTGTTATTTTTTTAAAAATAAAATATGATTCTTTGGTATGTCAAAGTGCTTAGACATGTACTGCTTCTACTTCGTAGTGCTTCGAGAAACGACCCCCTGTTTTCCAAGAAGTTCGAAATCTGCTCCAGATATCAACCGTGTAGGTTTCGGACTGACTTAAATGAATACTGTTAAGAAAACATATTTTCTGTGTATCCACGTCATAACTCGAGAACACATTTCATATTATTCTTTCTTTTTTCAATTTTTGTTTTAAGTCACGATGCAATCTTAACGAATTACGAACTTTCCAATCATGATTTTGACAGTTATTTATTGTATTTAGTCATTTCTTCAAATATTTTTCTCCTGAACACAAGATCTATATGTTACTGTTTCCATATATCTCATGATGTTAAGAAAATATATGACAAATGGTAAACAGTCATTGCAGTCAATTTAATTAAAGGCCAAAGAACAAAATAATCAAATGAAGACAATGTATGATGGATATAACAAATCAAGTATACAATCAAAGTACTAAATATTTATTCATATGGTTACAATATGGTCTTATATTACATAATTCAGATTACAGAATACAAATGAAGACATATATGCATATATACTTTCAAGAAAAGGATTGAGATGTATCGCAAATATATAAATGCTAAATATTCCTATTTTCTGTCTTTGTTTCTTTCATACAGCTTCCTCGTGATCGTAGCATCCGCCTTCGCGTGATGCCCGAGCAGAGCAATGACTACCGAGTCGTGGTCTTCGGCGCTGGTGGCGTCGGGAAGAGTTCTTTGGTGCTACGATTCGTTCGTGGGACTTTCCGAGAATGCTACATCCCGACCATCGAGGATACCTACCGACAGGTCATCAGCTGCAACAAGAACGTCTGCACTCTCCAGATCACCGACACAACTGGCTCCCATCAATTCCCCGCCATGCAGCGTCTGTCCATCAGCAAGGGTCATGCGTTTATTCTCGTCTACTCCATCACAAGCCGCCAATCTCTTGAAGAACTCAAACCTATCTATGATATCATACGTGAAATCAAGGGGGACGTGGACGGCATCCCCATCATGCTCGTTGGGAATAAGTGCGATGACCCCAATCGAGAGGTCAGCATCCAGGAAGGCATGGAACAATCGAAATTCTGGAGCTGCGCCTTCCTGGAGACATCGGCCAAAACCAATTACAATGTCAAGGAACTCTTCCAAGATCTGCTCCAGTTGGAGAAGAGACGGACAATGAGCCTTCACCTCGAAACGAAGAAGACAAAGTCACAGAAACGGCGCGAGAAGCTGAAGGGCAAATGCACGGTCATGTGATCTTTCATTTGATTTGACAATCGTATTTTATAATTATTGATTCCTATCACATGACTGTCGCATGGTAATATCAAGATGTTCTTGAACCATGCTGACATGAAGTTCAACCTCAAACGCGTCTTGGAGATCGGGGAGGAAGTGGTTGTGGCGTGTCAACTGAAGACACACCAGCGATTGGAAGCGCGTGTACACGTGATACCGCACGTAACGGTTAAGCATGATTTTACATAAATGTCACCCGTATTCATCACCACCTTGTCCTGTTTATCTAGTGTGTATCATGTGGAACCCCTTGATCTTTCCCTCTGGATCTCGACTCTGGTGAGATCCACAAGGATATCTTTCTGAAGAGTCCTTGTTCTGACGCTGGTCGTCGCAGGTCCGTTCAAGGACATTATACAAAGACCATTTTAGGGATTTGAAGGTTTAGGTGATGGTAGACCATTGTGTATTTGCGGTATAATCATGATTTATGATAGAGACATAACTGTCCGTGTCATATAATACCTATTCAGCCGTCAAAGACATAATTATACAAGTCATATTGAGATAGGACAAATAGATCTGTGTAAGCGTTTTCCTTTTCTAACCTGTTTTATAAACAGTTTTGACACCAGAAAAGAGAAAGTATACGGATTCAAATCTTTAAACGGGCAACACATCAAAACCTTGAAAATCATTGTCCTCCCATATTTATTGGCAACTTAAAGGTTTGAACGCAATTTCTTTCAATATATTCTTATTCCAGAAAGATGATGGGAATTCAGATTTAAAAGAATTTTGATCATTTGGAAGTGATATTGACCAACCTTGTCCTTTAAAAAACCCGATCCTTGATACTTTAAAACAACTCATTAACTTTCTACCTGCCCAGGAATAGATCACTGTTCCATGGGAGAAGTTATTACAAAAACAAAAAATACGAAATGCTTCTCTGTCTCCAGAGTTTCAGCAATATATATATGTTTTAAGGAGAAACGGTTGGACTGCTGAATTAATCTTTTAAATACTTATTCCTGGACATTTTTCTTTTCTTTCCAGTAAGTCGGTTCGATGGATTTTTTCAAAATCTGTCAGTATCTCAATACACCTTGTTATTGAGAAAGCCAAATTGTAAGCTAAATATCAAAACCAAATGTGATAAAGGAAAGAAGCAAGGCAATAGCTACAAGTGTGGCATATAGTGTATGATTTATTTTGTGTGTTAGATAACCAATGCAATACACAGAGTGTTCAATCATAACAAAATGTGTGTCATGTATATTCGCATGTAGGTCTTCTTATTCGTCAAATATTTCTACCTATGAACTATTTTATTAAATGTGAAATATTCGTCAGAACTGTCTTCAATTTATAGAGTACAGATAGTATATTTTATTTTTTAACACGAATTCGTGCTGACATAATAACGTCGATCAATTATGCTGCACGCACATAGATACTATTTTCATGTTGTTTGTTTTTAAGGGGATTGTTTCTTGTAATTTATTTGATGAGCGTTTGCCATAAGACAAGTGTGAGGTTTTTATTACATTTTTTCATCAAATCATTATATTGAGCCATTCGTTGTAATTAGATTTTAAGCTACATCCAGATATTTTATCATAGATAATTGAGATCATCAAAGCACTATTGTTTCTAAAAGATCGTACCATCTTTACATTCAATGTCAAATTTACAGCAGGTATCAACATTTTGTTTTCAGAAAATCGATTGTTTCTTTAATTTCCTGTAAAAATGCCATAAATCGGTCAAGGATTTTTTACAAACGAAATCCGCAAGCTGCCAGTGCCGCAAACTCTACAGCTGATATTCTACTAAGTTCAAACTAGACGCTTTTGTTCAAAATCGGATTTAAATGAGGCGGTTAGTACTTTAGTAGTTTGAGGTCTTACTTGCCTTTGTTATACGTGATATTTGACCCATGTTCGTGTTGGTACTACATTTTGGTTTAACTGAATTAGTAGAATTCAGACCTATAAGTGCACATAAAATGAAGTTCTTAAAAGCCGATATAGCTGGTATTCTACTACTTCAGTTAAACCCGGTCCTGAGTCCCATGTGATGTTTATTTAAGAAAAACGAAGACCTTGGACTAACTACTTTAGTTTGTTTGACCCGAATTTTAAGATAAGCTTAAGCCTAGAGTTGGGTTTAAATGTTAGTAGAAATATGCTATTTCTATCAACATTGACGTGTTTAAATTATTTTACTTGTCTTCAGACCAAGCTCATACACAGCATTGGGTTATTAAATTTAAGTTTAAAACGGACCTTCGGATGTATCAAAGAGCCCTAAGTCAAAGTAGGCAGTTCCTATCCCTCACCCCCCCCCCCCCAGTGAATGGGACAGAATATAGCGATCGTGAATAATATATCAATAACGATCACATCAATGTAATGATATAAGACCTAAAACATTAATCCTAGTACTTGCATGTGAGTTAATGTATTCAGCATATATTTGATATTTAACACGTTTAACACGTTTAACTATTAATATTTTTCATTCCAATCTTCTCCGCTCGTAACTCGTTTTGTAGTACATAATCTCATTTTTTGGTAAAATGTGTAAAACTGTGCAATACAAATGTGTTAATTTTTAAATGTACTGTTTCATCATAATTTTTGGAATGTTTGTCTTTCGTTTGGTTGATTTTAAGTTATTGGATTCTAGAAAATGTTGTATATATTATACATTGAAAACTTCTGAGATTTGTTTATTTTGATATACTGTACATTGTTTGAGATTTGATAAAAATTGATACTTTAATGGAGATCCCAAACCACAGAAATTCAATGGTGCCCTAGTCTGAAGCAAACGTAAGAGGAAAATACATAGCCTGTATTATCAAAGTTGGAAGAAAAAAACTTGTCAATATCATAAAATCAACGTGTATTTTTGGAACGAAGCAAGGAATGCCGATAAACTTCATTTCTTGTCATATAATGTAACTCATTTGTTATTTACCCATGGAGAATCCCTGAATATGTCACCATTAGGGGCGGGGACATATTTTGGGGGGAGGTAAAACAAATATCTAAAGTACATTTGACCAGCAAAAGACCCACCCCAAAAAATGAAAAGAAAAAAAAAATGAACGTTTTTTGTTTCCGTTTACAGGAACAAAATAAGACTAAATCAAAATTTCTTCTCTGAGCAATGCTGCTTATTATTTTGAACATGGGCTCATGTTCTTCTCCCCCCCCCCCCCTACACCCCCTACCGCCTGTAATAAGCCTGTCGAGAAAAAGTGGGGGAAAATTATGTTCTCATGCACTATCCCTCACCCATTATTCAACAGTTCAAATTTAGCTTATGAAATTTCTTGATATAAAATTTCCGGTCGCAAATTCGAAAGAAATAAAGCTCACAAGAAAACCTTCATGCTCTCTAAAAGCTATAGGCCTCTTGCTTTTAATAATCACCTCTAATCATAGTCATTTAACACGTTAATTTTGGGACTTCGAGTTTCTTCGGCTTCTCCTCCATTGCAATATTTGCTGGTTATCATGAAATTTGTATTGATTGTCTAAGAAATCGTTTATTTGATTTTTATAAAATAAGGAAGGTATCGGCAGGAGTGTTATGTCGTCGAAAGTCAATCATTTTATATCATAGTGTAAATAAAATCACATTGTTGTTTAAATTGGAAAAGAATCAGAGATACAATATGTGGAAATGCAGATGGTGTATATTGAGCAATGAACTACGAACTATTTCATGTTTGTTATTAAACATTAATAGAATTATTTGAAATTAATGTTTGCCATTCTCAGTGTGTGTTTTCATTGTGTAGCCTTTGAGTCGCGTCTGGACATCTATGAGTCAGATCAAACGTGAAGAGTGTTGTGCTGATGATGAAAGAGAAAACTCGATTTTTTGCATAATGACCTGTGCATTGTGATGTTGTATGTGAATGTGTCATAAACGTACTGGGTGTTAAGATAACATTAGACGCTTTTAATCAGTTACAACACATAATTTAAACTCGCATCAGACTGAAGTTCAACCAATGTCCAGTTGAACAATTTCAAATTAATTTGAATGAAGTTTGTTTGATACTTTATTCAAATAATTTCAATATGGCTGTGAACTTTCAATAACATTTTCCATCTCAGAACTATCAGAGTCTCAAAATGTGGGCGTATCGGAACACTTCAATACCAGTGAGCTCGATCTGACCAGTCATTTCTGACAACCTTTGTTATCCATTATCATGAATGATTCATGACTATGAGTTTTAAAAATGTGTTCTGGTATTATTTCATTTATCTGTTTCTGATAATGTAACCAAATTTAATGCATACGTCCTTGTGCATCGCCTCGATACTTAATGTAACATTCACCTGTTACAAATAATTGTATCTCAAATTCAGAATGCAAATTGCATACAGTATTTGTTGATAGGTAGGGCAATCCAAAGTGTTTGTCCTACCTAGCAACGGGTAATCCATGCAACCAGCACTCTGACTATTTAGATCCAATAATTCGTAACGGGTGAATGAAAATAATTCGTATCGACGCACTTCACAAAGACGCATGCATTAAATTAGGTTATATTCCGAAAATGGCATATTTGGGATACATACTTGTTTCTATGACGGATGACCATCTGGGAATTTCTGAGATAATGAAAATAACCATTAAAGCAGGGTTAATTCGACCTCCCTGATTGAAGTAAATAGGTAATTATAACATACATTTGTGAACGTGTCTACTGGGTCATGCTGTACATTATAATAGACTAATGAAAATTAATAGGAATGTTGATTAAATATAAACTTGAGTACTGGTAATGCGATTGCATTGTGAAAGAAAGGTGTGGAATGGATCAGAAAAATTGATCATATAGCATGCAAGTAATGGAGTGTAATGCAAGGTTCTATAGTCATCAAAATCATCATAAATTTGGCAGAGTCTTGGTAAAGTAACAATCACTTACACAGAAAGATGTATATGGGACAACGCACATGGTGTCGGGGCCAGTACTACCCTGATTTCCTTATCTTTCTATGCTCATTACTCAGCCAGTATACATTTTCTTCCAATTATTGTTTGGCACATGACATTTATTTGTAATCTTGAACATTCAGTGAAAGTTTCGTTAGATTTTGTGAGAATTCATTTTCTTTTTTTACCAGAACTCAAGTTTATCTTTAATGATGACGATAATGATGATGAAGACAATGATGATGAGGATGATAATGATGAGGCATTCTCATGGATAGCCATTGCTCATTCGCTTTGCACATAGCTGTTTATTGCCTGTTGGGGATCCAACCTCCGCATAGATTTTACATGGAAGTGTGTTTGTACCTGGTGGTTATTTCACGAGAATTACGGCCAATTATGATGCACATCATCATCATGATTTAAAGAGAAGGTGAGTTCTGGGAAGAGGTAAAAATAAGTGGTGAGCGTTATCATTGTTATTATGTAAGTGTGGAAGAATATCAGATAAAATATGTTCCCTGAAAAGCATGGCTCTTCAAATGCCTTAATATTATAAATATGGCATGTAACAGCATACAAATCGGGACGCTTTTGTATGGCACATGGTCGTGTAGTCCCGTATACATATTTCTGTGTACAGTACTTGCAACTTTACCAAGACTGGGCCACATTTCTTATCATGTTGATGGTTCAAGAACCTTGCAGTACACACCAATACGTATATGCTAGATGATCAACCTTTTCTGATCGACTCGGATTCCACATCGTTTATTTCACAAAGAAATCGCATGACCAGAACTCGACTTTATCTTTAGTCCACACTCCTTCCCAATCGAAGAACAATTATCATCATTCACTTGTCAAAGTTATACAGTAAGAATACAGATTGTTAGGCTGGTCAGATAGAGATTGCGGTACTTATACTTGTATATTTATCTAGGATCAACTTGTACCCTTACAATGCTTTTGTTGTATAAAGGAATTAATGCATTTGGCGTAGTATAGATTATCAAGTATTTGTCTGTAAAGTAAAAAAAAAAAGCGGAAATAATAAGTCACTTCAGAGATACTATCTACGAATAAGCAGATAAAATACATATAATACGTCATTTATACAGAACTGTAAAACCCATCAAGACGGCTGCTTGATACGTGTTCGATTCATTCGATGATACACAGGTGGAAGTTTCTTTTACATTAATTCAGCAGGGAATTTTTGCCATAGTCCTATAGCGCCTTAGTCACTTTATTACTTTTTCTACAGACCTTGCAACACCTTATAATAATTATCACAGCGACTGTCTACTAGCTCGTCGCAGCTGGCGCCATATAAGATGTGCTGAAACTGGGTTTGGCCATTTAAAGTGTAGTTTCTTCTGCAGTTATTAACCGTGAAAATGCTAGAAAAGATCCAAGGAAATATGAAGTGAGTTGATTTTCCTAGTAACCCTCGAACTCTCAGTCTATCAAGTTAATTAGCAGTCAAAGTTTTTCTATCAACTTCAGATTCTCTATTGTTCATGACGATTGAAACTAAATCTTCCCCTACCATACTATCGATCTCTATCCGGCCTGCCTTCTCCTTGGTATCTAGAACATATGGAAAAGAAATCGGATGGGGAAGAATATTGTTATTCATATACTCAGATGAAAATTTTGCAAAATCTAGTCTCACCTTAAGACTGATATTCTTGTTATTCTTCAAATTTACAATGGAGTGATCAATTCATTTCTATTGCCTTTGCATCTGTCGTCCCTTGTACTGCGACAAAGTAATTTTGAACTAATGTCATGAAAGAGGGAAACTTTCATAAAAGTAGGCCCTGAAATGCATGCAGAGCGACCTGACGTAAAGAATATCTCATTATCTGGGGGGGGGGGGGGTCTCCTCATCTTTTTCTTTATTTTTCTCTATCTACCTATACCATATAATCGTAAGTTTTCGTTTTCTTGTTCCCCTTTTTCAACTTACTTTCCAATTTTGCTATTTCATTTTTTTTTCAGGCCCGAAATGCATGCAGAGCGACCTGACATAAGAATACTCTTGCATTTAAAAACAAGAAATTTGTCCTCGTCTATTTCTTTATATTTTTCTTTTTATCTCAACTTTATTTATGTTTATCACGATTTTTTCCAGCTTTCAACTTATTTTTCGAAGTTGCTGTAGGTTTTGGGTCTTGTGCACCGTCAGTCTTAAATGGAGTGTCGGTGTATGGGGTCCTGGGCCCCGTTGCATAACATTTACTACTGATGGCAACTTTGCCATTAATATCATCAACCATGGCAACGTCATCATGGTTTCCATATAAGTTACCATTAACGGCAAAGTTACCATCAATGCTAAGTTTTATGCAAAGGGGCCCTGATGCTCTTATTGAGGATCTACTGACATAAATATACCGAAATTTGTATTTTAAATTAATTTGAATTCTAATTTGATCCATCATAATAATAGATCATAATAGATAATGTTTTTTTTTAATTCTAATACAATAGTGAGGGAGAGCAATTATATGACCCTTTCTCAATTCTCTCTCTCTCACTCTTTCCCTCTCTCTCCACCTCCTAATTTGATCAAACTTATTTACAATAATTATGAAGTATTTTAGCATTTTAATACTATATCTATTATTGTTTAAAGACATATACTATACAGTGCGTCTCAGAAAAAAACGAAACCTAGAATTATCGATGTTTCATCACACTTTAATCGCAATTATAATAAATAAATGACACATTATTGTAAAGCTTAGATCCTCCCCTTTCATTTGATGCAACTCATATGATACATGGTTTACGCATCAGGAATTATAAATAATTTAAAGAAAGGGTACCAAAAAGTCATTTGGCGAACGGAATCTGATTTTAAAAGGATATCACATTTCCAGAAAGTTCATTTTTTGCCCTTTCATATGACACCTCAATCAGGAAAAATGACCCAAGAATAACGTTTGTTTGTTTGAAGTAAGGCTTGCATTTCCATAATATTGTTAAACGAATTCGTTTTCACTGGCTGTCTGCCGTAGCAAAAAAAAAATCCGTTTCATTGACGATCAGCCGTGCATGAAGTCCTTCATCTCCTTTGTTGTTAGGGCAGACAGCCAGTAGACGGGAGTCGTTTAATACAATTATGGAAATGCAAGCCTTACTTTAAACAAAGAGAACACTGTTATTCCTGGCTCTTTTTTCCTGATTGAGGTGTCATATGAAAGGTCAGAAAGTGAACTTTCTGGAAATATGATTTTCTCTTTGAAATTCTGATACTCTTCGCCAAATGACTTTTTGGTACCCTTTCGTCAATTTTTTTTTAATCACTCATGCGTGAAAAATGCACCATATAAGTTACATCGAATGGAAGAGAAGGATCTAAGCCCTACAAATATGTGTCATATATTAATTAGAATTGTGATTAAGTTGTTATAAAACATCGATAATTCTTGGTTTTTTTATTTCTGGGACGCACTGTATATTAACTATTTTTACCATAAGAAATACATTAAACATAAATGCCCACAGCTCAACTTTTGCACTTTACTTTAGAAAAAACGTATTCCTAAAAAGACGCTTGTAAAAAGCACAAAATCATAGTTTTGAGAGATCATCGAATTAAACACTGCACAGTAATTCCATATTTCTTTTAGGCAAAGATCGTTGGGTTAACAGGGATGAAAGTGAAAAAGAAAGAGAATTTCAGAGGAAATGGGGAGAGAGAGAGAGAGAGAGAGAGAGATACAGAGAGATCAAAATGATGAAGACTGTTAAAATATCTCAGTCTCCAAAAAAAAAAATCATTTCGACACGCATTAC